GAGCGCAGATCCACTGAGCGCTCAACACAGACAGCATCGTCAGAAGGAAAGTTGATAAAATAAATTAAAAATGTTGTATTGTTTGATACATATGCGTACCGAACCGAAAGCACTGTATCGAACGGTTCGATATCGATACGAGTATCGTTGCACCCCTAATTAGTATGTTAAAATACTAACAAATGTAAGTGAAGTTTTGACTTCCTCTACTATGGATACATGTCAACCTTAAAAATGATTAAAAATAATTTGATTTCATTGTTTGAGAAAAATGAAATAATTTATGAGGGTAATACATTATTAATTCATTTTCTTAAAAAGGATGGGGGAGGACTTACTGAGTTTGGCTTGTCTCTTCTTCCACACAACAAAGATAACAGCAAGAATCAGAAAGAGCACAACAAGAACACCAATGACCAAACCGATATTATTTATATTTGGGTCATTAGTTGGATTACTGGGAGGACTGGAAGGACCGATGACCACAAAAAAGTCATCTGAAATGACAACAGCATGTAGAGTAGTTTGCATATCAATACCACATATCAACAAAAATGTCGAGCTGTTTGGGGGAATTCACATCATTTCCTAATATATGAGCTTTACCTGGAACATGTATGTGTGTCTCTCTGCTCTGGTTGGTGTTCCTCTGTTGGACTCTGCAGGTGATGTTGTTGCTGTGTCTCTTCTCCACAGTCACTCTGCTGCTGACAGTATAGAGGTCATCAGGACCTCTGAGGGTCTCTGTAGGTCCAGCAGAGAGGAGGTTTCCCTCACCGTCCAACCACAGCAGCTCAGGCTCTGGATACCAGCCTGCAGACTCACACTGTAACACCACCCTGCTGCTGGTTTTGTTAATCTCTGCAGCAGGTGAAGAGGCAGCACCTGAAAAAGACAAACGGAACATATTTTTTATCCTGTTTTCCTTCTCTCACCCAAACCAGTTGCAGCAGATGGCCGCCCCTCCCTGAGCATGGTTCTGTCAAATGTGTGGAGGTGCACAAAAAAAAAATACCCTAAAAGGAAGTTCAGCCACAACAAGTACGCTAGTACTGTAGAGGTTTGTGAGTCAGCCGAAATCTTTTTTGTATATACATTGTATATATAGTTTATGGATCCAAGGCATGGGTAGTGTAGCATTCACAGTTTAACAGTCTACCAAACCCAAAATAGCAAACAAGACATTTTTCCACAGATGAAGGCTGTGCTGCTACTAAAAGAGCATTAGTGTCAATTTATGAATCACAGTTTAAAAGAAAGATAAACTATTTAAAAAAAAATAAAATGCATTTGAAATGATAACATGTTTACTTACCAACAACAAGCTTAACTGTAGTTTGTCTTTTCAGTTCTGGAACAAAACATTTGTACGTTCCCTCATCAGACAGTTTGACTTTGGAGATTTTCAGTGAAATGTTTCCATTCTTCAGTTCGTCTGTGAACAGAGACGTTCTGTTGGTGTAGGACGGATGTTTTTTAGACTCCAGTTCCACACCGTCACGCCACACGAGGACAAATCTGGGGTTTAGGTCAAGTCTCGCCCACTCCACAGCCATGTCCAAAGCATTCATAACAGGGTCCAGGTTACACGGCAAAATGATGTCATCACCAATCAAAGCCACTACTGGCTGAAGAGGACCGATAACCTCTGACTGACCTAAAAAAAAGAAGATTTTGTGTGGTAACTGAAGTAAAAGCCAGCAGCAAACAAATGTGCCTGAAACAGTTAGATTGTATCTGGACCACAACCTCAGTAAATATTGACCAGGGTTTATACAATTTTCAAGAAATAATTTCAATGATATCTCCAGTGACACACGCTGCTGTAACAGACAGCAATAATGTCTTAGATTTAGAGACTTTACAGACTTATTTTACAGCCTGCTTACCAAGTGCTGTTGTCAACTGTGTGAAAAACCAGTGATTCTCTTTTGAAGACCAAGTTTGATCATTCACACTGTTTTTCTTTCATCTTTGTTCAGCTTCTAAAAATCATAGTTTTTGAAGGATCCTAACTTTAGTTTTAAGCCCAAATTTTACATGGGACAGCTGCTCACAACCCGACACACTGTTCTTGTGGTTGCATTATGGGTTTTTATTGATTTTTCACTGATATGACTCTTCTGTGTTCGGCACACACGTCAGCCAGCTTTTCAGCTGTCTGTACACTCCCACAGGAGTGTACAGACTGGTCTGTACAGTACTGGTCTGGTCTCCGACCTCACTATAGTAAGGGAAAACCTCATTAGATCAATCATCCCTACCTGTCCCTCCAACCTCACTGGCACCACCCCTTGAGCTCACTGTTCCACCCCTCCCCTGCAGCTGAGCAATAATTAGGACCACAACTCCATTACAAAGTCAATACTACAAAAAGTCTGAGCTGTGGGACAAAACGTTCAACTAACATAGTTCAGTTTTAAGTGTAGTTTTCAAACTGGAAGTCAGAAGAAATTTAAATCACAATAGTAACAACTATGGCTGCCTATTATGAGACACAACAACTATTCAAAGGAGAAAAAAACATAGGTCTTTCAAAGATGAACTCAATGTATAAAACATATGTCAAAAAAGGTAAAAACCTTCTGATTGTATTTTCTTGCCATATTGAAAACTTGTTCAAAAAGTAAAAAAAAAAAACTCAAATGCAAAAATGAATAAACTCAAGAACAGTTAAAGGTCAAAGTGAAATAAAATAATGCATTTGGTTTTTGAGGTTTTTTTTGTCTTTAGAGGGTTAAAGAAGCATATGGTGGGTGCAATGGAAAAAAAGCAAGTCCATGAGCAGTTTCTGTGCTGCTGAAAACAAGATCATGAAAATCATGGTGCAGATTTAAACATTTAATAATAATTCAGTGTCTAACCTAACAACCCTCTGGCCAGTGTTGCTAGGTGCTTTGATGGTCTTCCACTATTTTTTTTCCCTGTAAAAGATTTAATGGTAAATACAGGAACAGGGCTGTTTCTTTCTTCACTCAACCTGACTGAGCTCACCGTCTCGATAATGGCTCCACCTCTTTGTTCTTTGTGGTGTGTGTAGACAGACCCCACCTTTAACAATGACAGCATCATTGTCACTGCTGAAGATGAATCAGCAATCTTTCTGTTCAAAAACTAGGAGTTGTGTTGGGTTTTTTGAAATATGAATTTCAGTACTGCTCATGTGCTTCCACATTTAGACTGGACACAGTTACATTATTAGCCCAAATGGTGGATGTAACACTTTTTGTGAGTAAATCATTGTTGTAGAAATCCATAACAAAAATGATTAATAACTCTGTTGCACTGATGTGTTTCACTTACCTCTACATGAGTGTATCAGGACAAAGACAGCAGCTGTGTAGAAAACCAGCACGCTGCATCGATCAAACAGATCCATAAAGTCTTGTTGAGCTCTCACATGTAGGTTGGTGCGATTCTGAAAGTAGAGATGAAAAAGCAATGTGAGGAAAATGTTTGCAAAAACCAATTATTATCAGAGGTTTAACCTGGAGATTGAGTTTAAAGTGAGATTATAAGAAATAACATGGATCAATACACATTATAATACTGTATAATGTGTGTTGGGTCTGCTAACCCACAGATATGACATATAAAAAAATCTGAATGTGGATTTTTGACAAAATTATTTCATACTTTATGTCAGGTTTTGTACTTTTTATATTCATCACAAACAGGACAAGCCCTGTGGTGATGTCACATAAAATTTCATTTTAATGTTACATTGTTTTGTGCTTTGTCGAGAAGAGTTTTATATTTTGCATTTTTATTTTTGAGAAAATGTTAGGTTTCAAGAAACCAAGCAGTTGTAAAAAAAAAAAAAAAAAACCCTCTAAGAAAAAAAGAAACATGAAAAAAGAAACATGAAGCTTTCACCACCAAGAAAACTGTTTAAAGTTTTGTTGAAGGGACTGATTCAGCAAATTAGTTTAGGATTTGGAGAGAATGGGAATGGGCACCCCCTGCTGGACACGTCGACACAGTTCCAAGTTCACCCTCAGCGACAGAAATAAACTACAGTATGATCACGACGAGAAAATCAATTGTGCGATTGGTTTGAGTTCAGATTTTAATAATTACACTAAATAGTAGAAAAAAGACACTTTTCTGCCCTTTGTGATATCTGCGCCTTTCTGCTGCAATCTGCACTGACTTTAGTTTCACTTTCATTTACAATTAAAGAGAGATACAGTGGAGAACAGATTTATTTATTTATACCGAGACGTGTTTATTTCAAATATTAGACCATCTGAAAAGCAGGTTTTAAGTTTTGTTACGTCAACATTTATATAAATATTCAAACCTAACGTTCAACTGCGCACTTCCAAGATCATTTCGAAAGTGGAGAAGATTATGCCATTCCCACGGAACACACTCCACTATTTTCATTTATATGAACACGTCCGAGCCCAGGACCTAGGATAAGTACAAAATCTGTTGAAGCGTCTGCATACCGGTTTCTGAATGTCCTCAACCTGATGTCAAGAAAGACGGGAGGGAAGCTCTTTCCGGTCACCTGGAGAATAAGGAATGCTTCCGTATTTCCTGCTTGGAGTTTTTTTTTTTTTTTTCCTTTTTCAGAATTAATGTCACTGTGTGTGTGTCACTGTCACTGTAATTACTAATTACGCAAAACAGAGCGTGCCCGCTCCTACCGGTTTTAAAGGGTTAAGCTATAATATATGCCGTATGATTAATGTTTGCTTGTTATGGTTTTGTTTTGTTTTTTTGGTTTTTGCTAAATATAGACTTCAGTCAGTTACAACAAAATAATAAATAAATGAGTACATAATTTATATTTGTCATAATTGATCACTTGGCATGTTTCATATTTGTCCGTGTGGTGGCACTGTACAATTACAGGTGAACAGAAGACTATATATTTCCTCTTTGACTTTGACCATAATGCTCTAGAGCAGGTTTCAGCATCCCACGGCTCCAGAGATGCATGCAGCTCTTTCATCCTTCCGCTGCAGCTCCCTGTGAGTTTGGAAAATAGGCTATTTCATTCGTTTTTTTGTTTGTTTGTTTTGTTTTTTGTAGTTCGTTAGTTTTTAAAATGTAAATCTAAATTTGAAGAACCTCCAGTGCGTGACAACTCGACAACATTAACTTTTTGACCCCAGAAAATCCAAGAAAAAAAGTGAAGAAAACAGATCATTAATGCTATGTCAGCAGATTCATTTGCTTTCACTGAAACTGGTTTTGCAGCTTTATGTGTGGTGAGAAACTGGGAAACAACAAAAAGTCAGAAGTTGCAGGACATTTCCAGATTAAACACAATAAAGCAACACGTTCTCACTCCCAACTCTCAAATTTGTGACGCATGGTCAGGCTCCCTCTGCTTCACTTATCGACCCGCAGGGTACCCCCGTCGCGTCGAGAATTGACGTGCAGGGTCCTTCTATTGAATACTATGCTGCTCCCTAATCGTTGTTTATTGACGACAAGAGATTTCCGCGGAAGAGCCTGTTGTTCGTATATTTTTACATTTCCGAAATCACATTGTAGTGACGTGTACTGAACACAATACATTATATAATGTAAACAACTACCTGAGAAACAGCAGATACAGCAGATAAATTAATTATAGGCTATTACTTTTGTATCATTTATTGCATTTATGGAGGGAGTGGTGTATGCTGGGTAATGGCACAGCTAGCGACTGTCGCTGAGTCGCTGAGTCGCTGAGTCTGGGTTTAAAGTGAGATTAGAAGCAATAACATGGATCAATACACAGTATAATGCTATATAAGATGTGTTGGGTGTGGCCACAGATAATATGACATATAAAAATCTGAATGTGGATTTCTGACAAAATAATGTCATAGTTTTTCACTAACACACGTTGTTTTGTGCTTGTTTCTAAAATAGCTTTATGTTTTGCATGTTTTACAGAGTTTCAAGAAACCAAGCAGTTGTAAAAGACCTGTAAGAAAAAGAAACATGAAGCTTTCACCACCAAGATGAAAATTGTTTAAGGTTTTGCTTAGAAGGACTGATTCACTGTATTATTTTGGGATTTTCAGAGAATGGGAGTTGGCGCCCCCTGCTGCACGTGACGACACAGTTCCAAGTTCACTTGCAGCGACAGAAATAAACTACAGTATAATCACGGTGAGAAAATGAATTGTGCGATTGGTTTGAGTTCGGATTTTAATCATTACTCTAAATCCTAGAAAAATTACACTTTTCGTTCCTGTTTGATGTCTTTGTCCTTCCTGCTGCAGTCAGCACTCAGTTTAGTTTCACTATCATTTACAATAAAAGAGCGATACGGTGTAGAACAGATTTATACCGACAAATGTTTATTTGAAATATCAGACCATCTGAAAAGCAGAGAAAAGCAGGTTTAAAGCTTTTTTAAGTCACCATTCATATAAATTTTCAAACCTGGCGTTCATCTGCGCACTACCAAGATCATTTCGAAAGTGAAGGAGATTACCCCATTCCCACGGGTCACACTCCACTATCTTCATTTATATGGACACACATGAAAGTCCGAGCCTAAGACCTAGTATAGGTACAAAATCTGTTGAAGCTTCAGCATACCTGTTTCTGAGCGTCCTCAGCGTGATTTCAGGGAATGCTGTTTCCGGTCACCTGGAGAATAAGGAGCGCTTCCGTGTTTCCTGCTTTTTTTTTTCTCTTTTTTTCTGAATTAACGCACCTTAAGCTGTAATGTATTCCGTATGATTAATGTTTGCTTGCTATGTTTATTTTGCTAAATGTAGACTTTAATCAGCTTCCAGAAATTATAGTTAGACTTAAATAAATAAATAAATGAGTAAATAATAAAACTTTTTTTCGTCTATCACAGTTGATCACTTGGCATGTTTCATCTTTGTCCAGGTGGTGGCGCTGCACGATTACAGGTGAACAATGAAGTGCCAGGTGAGCAAAACGACATTTTTTTTCTTCTTTGACTTTGGCCTTAATGCCCTAGAGCAGGTTTCAGCACCCCACTGCTCCAGAGATGCATGTGGCTCTTTCATCCTTCTGCTGCAGCTCCCTGTGACTTTGGAAAATAAATAATAGTATTTAATTAAAATTCATTTTTTATCGTAGTTCATTAGTTTTTAAAATGTAATTCTAAATTTGAAGATTCATAACCTTCAATGTGTGACAACTTGCGGGCATGAGCCTCTCGACTCCTGGTAGGTCACCCATGGATAAATTCAAGAAAGTAAAAGTGAAGAAAACAGAAGGTTTGATGCTATGTGGGCAGAGTCATTTGCCTTCACTGAAACTGGTTTAGCAGTATGCTTCATGTGTGGTGAGAAACAACAAAAAGCCAGATGTTACTGGGCATTTCCAGATTAAACACAATAGAGATGAAGGTGATGTCTTATGGTCCTAATGTGCAAACGCTGTGTCCTGAGATTTAGGAGCAAACATCACTTTAACCAGGTAAAATAAATATTCTAAATGACTATTATTTTGTGAATATATATTTTAGATTATTCAGTGAAATATTTTATTTTTTTAACCCTTTTATACATGAATTATGACAACCTCAATCAGGATTTTTTTCTTAAGTATTTTTATTCATCTTTAGGCATGAAAAAAAGTTTTTAGAACTTATTTTTTTAAACATGTATTTTTCAAAGAGTTTTTTGCATGTCAACTTGGATGGACACCATGCTGACCAGTGGGTGGCAGGGTATGGAGCGACACATCAGTGTCCAATGTAGTGGTTTATGTGCAATTATACCATCAACACCGACACAAATACAAGAAAACAGCATCTGAATAGCTGTCCACTGTAGTGATCACTATGCGTGAAAGGGTTAATTGAGGTATACAGCTGACTGCACGCCCCAGCACATGTGATGAAATGATGACAGCACACAGAAGCATACAACCTTTTTGGTTTGCTGCAGTTGAATAATTTAAGCCTGGCTTTTTACTTCATAAATACAAAGAGGAATCAAATAGATACAGAACGTTTTAGTTCTAACCACAGGTGTCTTTTTCAGAGTTAAAATACATTTCTTTTTTTTCTCCAGCAGTTCATTGTTTTCTCAAATGCAATACACTAAAGTTTTCATACACAATCTACAGATTAAAAAAAAGAAATTGGTGGACTCCATTTCTATGCTAATATTAGATCTTAATGATGGAGTGGGGTTTGTCTCACTCAAGATGAACAAACATCACAGGAGTGACTGTGGACAAGAGACACATCATAAGTTTCACCTGCAGAGTCCAACAAAACGAACATTAGTAAGAGCAAAAAGAAACACAAACACACTCCAGATAAATCTAAGTTCATTGTGACTGCACTTAGCTATAAAGTCTATATTAACTCCACGTGTTTGATTATTTCAGATTGTTCTCTTCGTGTTCTTCAATCCTTCTCGTCCTTCTCGTTCTCCAGTAATACAAACATTCAATTCAATTCAGTTTTATTTATACAGCACCAAATCACAACAACAGTCGCCTCAAGACGCTTTATATTGTAAGCTAGAACCTGCACAATATACATACACTCTCCAGGTGTAGCTGTTGGCATGATGATATTGTATATAATTTGGATTATTTCTTTATCTTGTCAAGGGCCATGTCATTATTATAAATTGTTTAAGCTGTACATGACTTTATGTTTTGTTATTTTATGTAGTCAAAGTTTTTGTGCTTTTATTTTGAAAGTCAAGCTAGCGTAAAAGTTGCACTACTTTCCTTTTTGGGGGAGAAAGGAGGAAAAAACACATGTAAGCGTGCAGCAAGAAAGGTCTTTATTGAAGGTCATGTTTAATGGGCTTTAACTACACACGGTTAAAGGAAACCTCAGAAGAACGGCGGCTAATTCCCTTTTTGCAGCATGCAGCCAACGAGATTATTTATCATGTTTGTTGTACAGTGTTTTTACTGCTGTGTCTTACAATGAGTTTTATTTTGTTAATGCTGTATAGTTTTCATGGTGGCTTTGGAGAGAAGTCTTCAAATAAACCAGTGATAGAAAACCACTGGTGTCTGCCTGTGCTTCGAGGGAATTGTACCTGGGTTAAGTCATCTACAGCCTCTGTGGCACTTCATTGTCTGCTATACCGATGACTATGCAGCCCTGTATTTGTTCATTTCTCTTGGCACCAAAGTCCCAATGTTCTGCTCACTGACAGAGATTTCTAACAAAGACGTCTACGCTCTCACTGTGACATTGGGAATGGCAATGGAAATTCACACGCTTATGAAGCTTTTTGTGTTCATCAAACTTCTTCACCGCCACCTTATAGTAATGATCATTTTCATCTTCATCTTCATTTCAACTTAGGTAGGTTCAGCCTATTTTATCATTGCAATAACCGTGTATTTACTTGCACATCGCAATCCTCTTGGTTGAGTTTAGTAGCAACTCAGAAGCAATTAAAACACTGCTTCCACTGGTTGAGTGAAGTCCAATAAATCAGATGTATTAAACGTTGCCATCATCACTGCTATAGCTACAGCTTTGAGACATGACCGTCAACTACTTCTGACACCATGAACAAAATGTCACAAGAACTTTGTGGAAGAGCAAACCAGCACTTTAATACTTTACAGTTGTCATCCACACATGTTTTCTTATACCCCATATCTATAGTCCATAAGGAATTGAATCATTAGTGGGATTCATGCGCGTTTTGGTGATTTTTGTGAGAGATAGTGAACCATTGTGGTTCATCATTAGAAACATGGTGCCAGGAAGAGAGGATGCTCTGCTTGTTCCTAAGTAAAAACCAGTTCATCAGCAATTCTGCTCGCAGGTCAGAAATTTACATAAGAAACAGACAACACATATAGTTATAACTTGTAGTATATTATATATAAATGTACCACTTCACTGGTTAATTACATAATCACATGGAGGGGAGTACTTCAAACCATAAGCACTACCTATCAGAAGATTTTGTTGTACATTATTATATATATTATTTTATTAATAAAAAAGCATCAAGAAGTCGCAAGCAAAATGAGAACACACCATGGTACATGTTTAAACAAGGAAGGTTTATTCATCAAAATGAATTATTAACCAAAAAGACATAACATCATTTTCTTTTTCACCCAAAAATGTCTTGGCTGTGTGCGGGCAGACAGGGAGATAGGACCCAAAATGCAGGACTCGGAGGCAGACGTGAACTCAAAATACAGCTTTATTGTTGGAGTAACGGAACAGAAACTAAACTAAACTGAGAATACAAAAATCAACTAGGCAGGCAGACGGATGGAACACACAGAAAACGTAAGAGTATGACGCAACACTGCGCAAGGGCAAACACAGGGCTAATATACACAGGGAAGTAATCAGGGAATGGAAGACATGAGGGAGACACAGCTGGGAGAGATCAGGGGGAGAAAAGCTGGACACACTGGCATAGTACACAACCTTTCAAAATAAAACAGGAAACAATAAACAAAGATGCAGACTAAGAAACACGGACCTTACACGGGCAGAATTAAACCTAAACTAAACACGAGACACAACCTAAGAGCTAATCCCTCACCAAGAATAACTGAAACAGATCTATAATAATAATATACAAAGCACCAGAGCCTCAGAAAATAATCCATAGCCTAATGCAAAAATAAACCAAAACATAAGAAACTCAAAATGCTGGGTCAACACTGACTCAGAACCATGACAAAAAAAACACATGTGCAATGCTTTGGGGATATTAGGACCACCAATTTTAAAGTACAGCAGAAATAAAATAAGCCTATATGAGACTGCTTGCTGTGTTGTTTTAAAAACAACAATGACAGCACAAAGAAATGCATTTTTGAAGATTAAATATTCAGAATTTATTTCCAGGTCTGTGTTGACGAGCATAACACATTTTATTTGAATGACGAACAGGTTTTAACAACTGTTAAGCACATTGTTGTGCGTGTTTTTCCAGAAGAATTTGATCTTTTTAGAGTATAAGTTAATTTTCTAATTTTACCAAGTAAACATTTAAAAAAAATGTGCCAAACAGTTGTAAAACAATCTGTAATCTGTAACACTAACTGTAGTGTCTTTGTTTCTGTCTCTTATTTAAATCACTATCTTTTTCATTATTAAAAAATGTTATCATTTTAAGTAAAGATTTAAGTTAACGTGTTGTATAAAAAGGGTGTGGAAGTAAGAAATATGTTAACAGATGATATGATCTCTGTGTGGCATATGTTAATATTATATGTTAAACTTTTTCCACGTAATTATTATCATTATCATTCTGTGGTTTCCGAATTGCTGAAATTATTTTTTCTTTTCTTGCCTTCCCTTCCTCTTTTTGTCCATGCATTGTTGGCTCAGGCCTCCTGGCTCTGGCTCAATGCATGTAAATGACATTGGCAATCAGCAGCAAGTGTGAACAATCGTGAGTTGTTGTGTTTAAATAGTGTTGTATTTGTTGTAGTCGTGTTTAGTTGTTGCCTTCAGTTGCTTCGATCCCATGTCATCAGTAAATCACTGTGAAAAATGGGTTTCAGTGACTGTTTAGAGTTTTACTGAAAAGTGGTTCCACAACATGATGTCAAAACTGTGTGAACAAGATAAAAAGTTTTAAGGTTTGGAAGAAGATAGACTCATTCAATGAAATATTTTAGGAATTTGAGACAATGTAAGTCTCTGTTTTGTAATCTGGCGCCCCCACAGCTGGACATGACATCGAAGGTAAACTTAGTAAACAATAAATCCTGGAAAAACAAAAACAACAACTTTGTGATGTATGTGACCTCTCTGCTGCAGTCTCCGCTGAGTTTAGTTTCACTGTCTGTGTGTAAAATAAAAGAGTGATACAGTGGAGAACAGATCTGTACTGAAACCTGTTTATTTTAAATATTAGACCATCTGAAAATCAGGTTTGAAGCTTTGTTAAGTCAGCATGGATTTTTCATTTGTTGCGGATTTTTCATTTGTTGCGTTTTTTTAATTTGTTGTGGAAAAAAAAAATTAAGATAATTTCCTTGTCTGAAGATAATATAATGTTGATAGGCGTATGCATTTGCATGAGCTGGAGACCTTTTTTCCCCCGAAGTCTTTAAACGTTTCAAACCGTCTGACACAGTGACAGACAGAAAACACCACTCGGTGAAAATGATGAGTCTGCGGATTCAACATTTGGAACACGGAGAGTGGAATTTGTAAACAAATCTAATCGGTCCAGCCGCTAAAGATATGCGGAAGCTCACCTTTTGCAGCAAGTGAGCGGAAAGAGTATTTACTCTCCGATTTCTTTGA